GTGTTGGAGGAGAATATTGAAAGTGCCATGGGCTGCCAAAAGAACCAATAGATCCGTTTTGGAAGAAGTGCAGCCAGAGTGTTTCTTGGAGGCCAAGATGGCCAAACTTCTTCTCTCATACTTTGGACATATTGTCAGGAGGGACCAGTCGCTGGAGAAGGATGTCATGTTTGGTAAGGTGGAGGGTCAAAAATAAAAAGGAAGACTCCCTAACTCGATGGATTGGCCAAGTGGCAACATCGATGGATTCAAGCGTGACAACAATAGTGAGGTTGACCCAGGATCAGGCAGTGTTTCGTTCTGCTGTGCGTGCATAAGGTCGCTATGAGTCGGTACCGACTCAATGGCACCTAACAACAACAACAACAAGCATCTTTTCTACTCCTCAAAGCCCATCTCCAGTCCCGCATACTGCACGAAGACTTTCCGGATAATCCTGTCTCACAGACATTCTTTTATGAATTTATACTTCAGGTCTTGGGGGCAATGGTGGCTGTGTGGTAGAATTCTTGTTTTCCATGCAGGAGACCCAGGTTTGATTCCCAGTCAATGCACCTCATGTGCATCTGTCATTTGAGGCTTGTATATTGTGACGATGCTGAATAGATTTCAGTGAAGCTTCCAGACTAAGAGAGGCTAGGAAGAAAGGTGTTAGTTCTACTTCTGAAAATCAGCCAATAGAAATTCTCTGGATCATAACAGTCCAATTCCCAGCTGATTATGGGAATGATGCACAACTAGGGATCAGTTTTTCCCCTCTATTGTACCTGGGGTCACCGTGAGTCAGGGGCCAAGTCAATGGCAGCTAATAACAGCATACTCATTGCAAGTCTTGTCATTATGGCAGCACTTAATACTGGTTTTGATTTCTCTCCCAACTATTTTGTTTCCCCAATTATTTTCATATCGTCCATTGGTATCTACCTAGCAAAACATGGTGTGGCACATAGTAGGTTCTCAGTAAACACTAACTGATTGTCTGGCTCAGTTAAATGATAATGATGATGTAGATTTAGTGCTTACTATATTACAGACTTTGGGCCTCATGTATGCTATTTAATTTAAATCTAATCCTATGAGATAGATATTGTTACCCTCACTCTACAGAGTGAAAATAAAAGCCACATAGCTTATGATGTTGTCCAGTCTGAGTTTAAGCTGCAGTTAGTAGGGCTCCTGAGGATGCTCTCTGCATCACATCTTCCACCACCTTTTAGTCAAACAGCCCCTCCCCTTCGCTTAGGAACAACAGAACCAGTGTCATTACAGTTGGAAGATACTAGGTTTCTAAAGGAGAAGTTATTTACCTGCAAGAGTTAATTTCCCCTCATAGACAAGATGTCTGTTTGTTGGTGATAAGATGTTTTCTGCCATATGTTCTTTAAAAATATGTTTCAGGCACTTGGAAAACAAGGGAAAAAATAAATAGAGATGTTATTAATGATTGGAAGGGAACGTGATCCAGAAGTTGGGGCAATGACCTCGATTTAGAAAACCTATACTACTGGAAATGCCAGTAGCTTGGCAGCCTTGAAAGAATGGAGACAGCTCCCAGAACACCCTAAGAATGGCACAATGGTGTCTACCTCCCACATATAATGCCATATGCATAAAAGTTTTACTTCTTGCCTAGAACACGAGACTTCTTTTTGAAGTGGGCAGCTGAGGATTCTCTAGGGCTATTGTGTTTTTACCTAAAAGTCAAACGTCTGGGAAAGAACACAAATCTTGATTGCTCCTTTTTTACCTCTGGAATGAAAAACCTTTTATCTCTATCCCAAAGCGGAGGCCACACTATAATCTCCTGTAGATGTCTTAGTTTTTGGAAATTATCAAGCCACTTCACTTTTCCTTCAAGATCCCCTGAAAGACAAGACAGCCAGTATATTTTAAACTCATGTGACAAGGCATCATAAATCTTAACCAAACCCACAGGAAATCATTTAGAGACACTGTTACTGGAGCCAAACTGTATCTTAGCTTCATTGACCATATTACTTGCTGTTTAAACATCTAAGACAATGCACTAATTTGAAAATCAGCCTTTTGCAGAGAAGAATTAGGCGTCACTAATGTAATTCAATGAGTTGTAAATGTATTGTGAATTTTTAATTCAATACTATGAACAAAACCATTTGTTGTTTATTTCCTACACCTGTGTAGAAGAAAGGAAAAAAAATATTGGATTAGAGGAAGAAAACTATATTGGACTAAAAAGGACAAATGTATTTTTTTGTCTTAATCATAAAACATAATCTGCTTCATAATAAGGAGGATCATTTCTTTTGGTAAAAACTCATTTTTCAATTTGTAGGTATGTGTAAATTTCCCATCATTTCCTAATAGCCTTTTGCTATTGAGGTTTTGAAATAAAATTTTGAAACAAGAGGGGTTCACAGACCTACAGAATCACACGGTTAGTGGAACCCTTAAGAATTCATCACCTTGAGGCAACAGACTTAAGGAAGATCACATTCATCTCTTCCTGCAATAGTAAGAATCTTTTATTAAGAAATCTCTAAGGGAGATGCTCTTACCTTCTTCACAAATCTATCCAAATGGCAAAATTGCACGAAATTATTTTAAAGGTGTGTCTTTAATTGAATTATTGTGTTTTTCATTTGATAAACTTAATTTAAATTATTTGAGCCATTTTGGAAATTGAATAAAAAACATAAAATAAGTAACCAATGAATCAATTTGGACTCATAGTGACTCTGGATAGGGTTTCCAAGTCTGTATGTCTTTACAGAAGCAGAAAGCCTCATCTTTCTCCCACGGAACAGCTGGTGGGCTTAAAATGCTGACCTTATTTAGCAGCCTGGTGCTTATCCTATAGCGCCACCTGAGCTCCTTAGGAAATCCCCAACTGAATGGTCATTTCATGTTGAACTTATAAAAGGGGGAAAAAATCTGACTGTACAGCTGTAGTTATCAATTTGAGTTGTTCTCTTTTGATGCATTCCAGGAAATCTTGGCTGTTGTTGTTCTGTGCCATCAAGTCAGTTCCGAGTCATAGTGACCCTGTATAGGGGTTCCAAGGAGCAGCTGGTGGGTTTGAACCACCAACCTTGTGGTCATCAGTCCAGTGTTTATCCTACAGCACCACACTAGAACTCCAAAATCTTGGCTAATGGGCATATTTTTATTTGCTTGGATTTCAGTTATGCAATAAACTTAAGTTATCATATGGCTTGCTCAGTTCCTATTTCCAAACTTCAGTTCTGGAGATTGTAATCATTTTTACACTGGCCTTGGATTTGAAAGACCCCAACAAAATGATGAATGGTGATTTATCCTCCTGAAAGTTTTCCCATGGTGTTTATTCATTGAGTGGGGTTTCATTATAGTTGTTGAAAACAAAGTGCCTTCAATCAAGCGGGAAGCACAGCTTTCCTGTATGAACTCACTTCTGAAACGCTTGGAGACAGAGCCATGTCCTGTTGTAAACTTGGTGTTAGAGTTCTCATAGGGTTAGCCAGGATGTGACTGGAGCCCATTGTTTTGTGGGTATTTGATTTATAATGAACTCAAACTCAAATGCACATTTCTGAGAACCATGATCTCAAGTTCATGGAATTACCTTCTAGGATGGAAGACAGAGGATTCCCAGAAACCACATTACCCACTCACCCAACTTTGATTAAGCTGCCATTGGAGCTCTGGGTCACTGATCTCAGAGACTTACGGATTGATTTTTCCACCTTCTCCTTGATGGTATAGATCATGATTTTCTCTGTCGAGTCTATACTTCTTTTCCAGATATTCTTCAACAACAAGGGGTATCGGGTCAGCCTGTGGAGTGGGGCCACTAGCAGCTCAGACAGATGAAGTCTTCTGCATTGTTCGTTCTGTTCACACCACTGGGAAAGGCAAAAGCAGATACATCAGAACATTGCCTCTCTGATCAAGGCACTCGGAAACCTGGGAAGAAGCACCTCTTAGGATCCCTGCTCAGGAACAGGACGCACCTGTGAGCTTGAGGGGAGACTTGATAAGCTGTTGCTAGACGTTGGTTTTGACTTGAACTCAGTGTCAGAATGCCCACTCCGGTTTGCTGTCTAATCTGTAGTGAACAGTTTCGCATGTTTCCCCCCACATCTCTCTTTTGTTGGGGAAAATCAAGTAATGTTTGCAAGAGAAAAGAAAAAATGAAAGTAAAAGTTGCAGAGCCTGAATTGTTCTGTTTGATAGAGGAGAGGAGTGAGGGGTAAAGACAGACAATTTTCAATAGAGAAAGTCTGGATTTGGGGTTTGAAGATGGAGGCAGCTGTAGGTGTGTGAGTACCGGCAAAGACAGGAAAGGGCATTTTAGTCAAATATTGCTATAATTATTTTTGGAGTCCTGGTGTGACCCAACAGAATAAACACTGGACTGCTAACTTTAAGGTTGGCAGTTAAAACCCACCAGCATCTCCTTGGAAACACTATACAGTGTCACTATGAATTGGAATTGACTCAACAACACTTCACAACAACAAAAACATGGATTATAGATTCAGTTTTCATAAATGATATTTGAGAAACACAAGTAAAGATGAGACTGTCTCTTGCATTTGTTTTATCTGCTGGACTGTTTCCTTAAATGTGACACTCACTGTCTTGAACTTGATGGCCCCCAACTTTTATGGAGTCCTGAGGTGATGTTGTGGGTTAATGCGCTGGACTACAGGGTCAGTTTGAATCTAAAAGTTGGTGGTTCAAGACCATCAGCCTCTTCTCAGAAACCCTACACAGGGTCACTATGAGTTGGAACTGACTTGACGGCACTTAACAACAACAACAGCAACAACTTTTATGCAGTTGGCACATAATACATGGAGCTGGGTCTCTGGCTACTATATAGATAAGTTGTTGTTAGGTGCCATTGAGTCAGTACCGACTCATAGCGACCCTATGCACAGCAGAACAAAACACTGCCCGATCCTGGGCCAACTTCACAATTGTTGCCACACTTGAGCCCATTGATGCTGCCAGTTTGCCGATCCATCTCGCTGGGGGTCTTCCTCTTTTTCTCTGTCCCTCCACCTTACCAAACATGATATCCTTCTCCAGTGACTGGTCCCTCCTGACAATATGTCCAAAGTATGAGAGATGAAGTTTGGCCATCCTGGCCTCCAAGGAGCACTCTGTCTGCACTTCTTCCAAAACGGATCTATTGGTTCTTTTGGCAGCCCATGGTACTTTCAATATTCTCCTCCCACACCATAACTCAAAGGCATCAATTCTTCTTCGGTCTTCCTTATTCACTGTCCAGCTTTCACATGCATATGAGGTTATTGAAAATACCCTGGCTTGGGTCAGGCGTACCTTAGTCCTCAAGCTGATACCTACCTTTGCTTTTCAATACTTTAAAAAAGGTCTTGTGCAGCAGATTTGCCTAATGTAATATGCCATTTGATTTCTTGACTGCTGGTTCTGTGAATGTTGGTAGTTGATCCAAGAAGAACGAAGTCCTTGTCAACTTCAATCTTTTCTTTGTTAATAAGAATGTTGTTTACTGGTCCAGTGATGAGGATTTTTGTTTTCTTCACATTGAGATGCAATCTATATCAAAGTCTGTGGTCTTTGATCTTCATCAGTAAATATTTGAAGTCTTCTTCACTTTCAGCAAGCAAGGTTGTATCATCTGCATATTGCGCAGGTTGCTAATGAGTCTTCCTCCAATCCTGATGCCACATTTTTCTTCATAGAACCCAGCTTCTCAGATTATTTGCTCAGCACACAGGTTGCTCAGCATACAGCTGCACTTCTTCCAAATCGGATCTATTGGTTCTTTTGTCAGCCATGGCACTTTCAATATTCTCCTCCAACACCATAACTCAAAAGCACCAATTCTTCTATGGTCTTCCTTATTCACTGTCCAGCTTTCACAAGCATATGACATTATTGAAAATACCATGGCTTGGGTCAGGCACACCTTGTCCTCAAGCTGACATCTTTGCAAGTATGGTGAAAGAATACAACACCGGCACACACTTTTCTTAATTTTAAACCATTCAAACAACTGCCTCTTGGTCCATGGACAGATTCCTCATGAGCACAATTAAGTGTTCCGGAATACTCATACTTTGCATTGTTGTCCATACCTTGTCATGATCCACACAATCGAAAGTCTTTGCATAGTCAATAAAGCACAGGTACACATCTTTCTGGTATTCTCTGCTTTCAGCCAAGAACCATTGGACATCAGGAATGATATCCCTCATTCCATGTCCTCTTCGGAATCTGGCTTGAACCTCTGGAAGTTCTCTGTCAATGTATGCTTGCAGCCATTTCTGTAAAACTTTACTCACATGGGATATTAAAGAGATTGTCCGATGATTTCTGCATTCTGTTGGGTCACCTCTCTTTGGAATGGGCACAAATACGGATCTCTTCCAATCAGTTGGCCAGATAGTTGTCTTCCAAATTTCTTGGCATAGGTGAGTGAGTGCCTCCAGTGCCACCTCTCTTTCTTGAAAGATTTCAAATTTTATTCCATCAATTCCTGGTGCCTTGTTCTTTGCCAATTCCTTCAATGCACCTTGGACTTCTTCAGTATCACTGGCTCTGGATCATATGCTACCTCATGAAATCAACCATTTCCTTTTGGTACTGTGACTCTGTATATTCCTTCCATCTTCTTTTGATGCTTTCGGCATCATTTAATAATCTGTCCAGAGAATCCTTCAATAATGAAATTTGAGCCTTGAAGTTTTTCTTTAGTTACCCTAGCTTGAGAAATGCTGAGCGTGTTCTTTCTTTTTGGTTTTCTGACTCCAGATCTTTGCATATTTCATTGTAATAGTTGACTTTGTTTTCTCGAGCTGACCTTTGAAATTTTCTGTTCAATTTTTGTAACTCCTCATTTCTTCCATTTGCTTTAGCATCTCTACCCTGGAGAGCAGGTTTCAGTATCTCTTCTGACATCCATTTTGATCTTTTCCTTCTTTCTTGTCTTAATGACTTTTTGCTTTCTTCCTATATGATGTTCTTGTTGTCATCCCACAACTCTTTTGGTCTTCGGTTTTGGTGTTTAATGTATCAAATCTATTCTTCAGATGATCTTTCTCTCTCTCTCTCTATATATATATATATATTATTTGCGGAGGTGTTTTCTTCCTCACCTTTTACCCCATGACCTCTTACCCCCTTTTTGTTCTTTGTCCAGGCCCAGGTTAACTCCTTTGCCTTGTGACCCAGGGTGTCAGTGTCATGCACACATTGAGAGGCTCCTTCTCCTTCTCTAAAGACATTTATATGCATGTGTCATTCCTTGCAAGGAGCACTGATGGCACTGTAGGATAATCGCTGGACTGCTAACCTCAGGATGGGTAGTTCAAACCAACCAGTCACTCCTTGGAAACCCTACACAAGGTTGCTATGAGTCAGAATTGACTCAACAGCATTTAACAGCAATGATAATACTGATAAGGAAGGAATCTACGTGGATGATACCATGATTTGGACTTCTAATCTCTAGAATTGTGATAAAGGAAATTCCTGTGAAACAGAAGCATAGGATACTTAGCTATATATAACAACAAGGAGCCCTGGTAGTGGTTACAAATTGGGCTGTTAATATCGTGGTCAGCAGTTCAAAACTACCAGCTGTTTCATGGGAGAAAGATGAGGATTTCTGCTCCCATAAAGATTTATAGCCTCGGAAACCCTGTACAGGGTTGCTATGAGTCAGAACCATCTCCACAGCACATAACAACAACATATATATATATATATTTTTATATATATATATATATTTTAACTGTAGAGTCTAAGATTTTGGTAGGGTTCATACACAGCTTCCAATCCTCTATGATTTTGATAGCTCCATTCTCTTCTTTGGAAAGAGAAATCTCTTTCCCTCTCAGTACCCTCCAGCCCCCTCCCTGCCCTCTCCTAGTTCATGCTTAGCAATTTGCACTTGTCTTGCATAGTTGGCTTTGTCCTAGGGGCTCTCAGCCTCCCACACAAGCAGCCTTATCAAAGTATTTTATGGGGAACAGTCCAGGACTCTTCACCACAGGCATTCTGCTGAATGAAATCCTAGCCACTGTATTCTGTATTGATGACCAGCCATGACATCAATATAGACGACTGTGGAGAGCTCATGGTTACGTAATGGCTGGAGGTCCAGGAGCCACATCTCAAGGGTGGGTGGCTGAGGGGCTGTGCTCTCTTCTCCGTTCCTCAGATTCCTCTTTTGTAAGATTGTGGAGGCTCCTAGATGACCTTCAAGTTCCCATCCAGCTGGAAATGGCTGCTACTCTCATCAGAGTTGGACCGAGTAGAGAAGGAAGACGGCTATTGGGACTGCTGGTGTAGGGAAGCTGCGAGGGCTGTGGTGGGGAAGGAAGAGGTGTGGAGAACGAGCCTGTGGCAGTGGGCCTGACTTCCGCGCTGACTCATATATTGGCAGCAGGACTCCAGTGCTGCCTGGTGGTCCTTTTGGGTGGCTGGGGAGTTCTACTTACTGATGTCTCAGCAGCCACAAGGGACTCTCTCAGAGCACATGCTGTGTTGTTGTTAAGTGCCATGGAGTCGCTTTCGACTCATAGCAACCCTGTATAGGGTTTCCAAGGAGCAGTTGGTGGGTTTGAACAGTCGACCTTGTGGTCAGCAGTTCAATGCTTATCTTAACAGCAGCACAGTTTCCTGTGGTTGCCATAACAAATTACCACCTACTGGGTAGCTTAAAATAACAAATTGATTCCTTCACAATTTTGGAGGTTAAAAATCTGAAATCAAAGTGTAACTGGGTTGGCCCCTTCTGGAAGTTCTGAAGGGTGAATCTGCTCTATGCCTCTTTCCAGCTTCTGATTGGCTGCCAGCAATCCATGATGTTTCTCAACTTGTAGAAATATCACTCCTCTCTCTACCTCTGTTATCACATGGTGTTCTCCCTGGGTGCCTCTGTGATTCTGCCCCTCTTTTTAGAAGGACATCACTCATATGGATTAGGGTGCACCCTAATGACCTCATATTTTTATGCCTGCAAAGACTCTATTCCGATAGGTCACATTCATAAGTACCAGACATTAGGACTTCAATATGGAGAACAAATTTCAACTCATAATACCCAGGCCACTGCCATAATATACCATGATTTAGGAGGCAGTTCTGGCTACCAGCATTTACTATTCAGGATAAATGCAGAAACACTCTTTCTTCCAAGATAGCAATCAAATGTGAGGCACCAGTGATTAATAATTTAGATGGAGATCTGAGTAGGGATGTTGGGATATGATGGGAAGGCCTCAGCAGAGAGAGAAAATGATACATGGCGATCACATAAGAAAAGTTGTGATGTTTTTCTTATGTCTCTACCGCTTTCAGTTTTCAGATCTATTAAGGAAGGAACATTTCTGTGAAGAAGGACTGATGGATCTATACCAATGGAAATGGAAACTGCCTTATAATAAATATCCAATGTGTTTACGAGGATGATGAAATGAATGAAGATATCCAGATAAAAATGTTATCCTAATGAATCTTTCTTGATAGGACCGTTCCATTTGGACAAGACACCTAGTGGTTTTGTAAATTAACTTTCCATCTTTGTCGTCAGTGAAATGGAGGCAATAAAGCCTCATCGGGTTGGTGAGTGGTTTCGAAGACACAGTTCATACAAACTGCTTAGAACAGTGTCTCAAGTCCTCAGTGCATGATGTTGTTATTAAGTGCTGTTGAGTCGGTTCTGACTTATAGTGACCTTGAATTGGGTTTCCAATGAGTAACCGCTGGGTTTGAACTGCCAGTCTTAAAGTTAGCAGTCCAGTACTGATCCAACAGTGCCATATCAGGACCCTATTCTTGGTGGTCATTGGTTAAACCACACTAAATGACCTGGCACAAAATTCTTAGTCTTTTTCTGTCTATCATTTTAACTTGTCCCTGGAAAAGCAGAAATAATGCTCCCTTCATACTTGTGTACCAAGGTAATGGATATACATTCAGAGACTCAAGAACTGGTCACCTTTATTGTCTATGGTAATGCTTTTCATACAATGAGAATGTGGAAGACAGATTACTTTTCAATGACCACAATCTCCAAAGTCTCTTCCAGACCTCTCACTTTTGTTTTGTAAATTTAATAATTCCCCAAAAATGGAAAACAGCTTTGAGGCATTGGAAAAAGTTCTGTGGCAAAGAGCATTGTATCTTTTTGCCTAAAGACCTTTGTCTAGGGTCTTTCCTTGCTATTTGTTGGCTATGTGACATTGCAAAAGCCACATAACATCTTTGAGCCTTGGGGACAGATGAGGATTAGGTAATCAACTTGACAGGGTGTGCTAAGGATTAAATGAGGTGGTTGAGAGAGTGCCTCATAAAACATTATGTATTATAAACGTATCTTGCATTATCATTACAGCATCGCATCCTCTGCTCCTTTCCCCTAAATGTTTTTGTATGTAATATATACTTCATTTATCAATTACAGCTGATGTGAAGTTTTCCACAGTTACTTAAAAATGGAGGCTTGCTAAGTTAATTTCTCCCTTATCTTACACCAGAGCCCCGGTTACACAATGGCTAAGCACTTGGAAGTGAATGAAAAGGTTAGGTGTTTGAGCTTAGCCAGTGGCTCCGTGGTAGAAAGACTTAGTGCTTTGTTTCTGTCCAAATTACGGCCTAGGAGAATCTAGAGGGCAATTCTACTCTGCCACATTAGACTGCTATGAGTTGGAATCAACTCATTGGTACCTAACAACAACTAACTTGGAAAGAAAAGAAATGAACATGTATTCTACCCATTTTTTAAAAGAAGCTCTGGTAGCATAGTGGTTACGAATTGGGCTGCGAACCGCAAAGTCAGCAGTTCAAAACTACCAGCTGTTACGCAGGAGAAAGATGAGGCATTCTGCTCCCGTAAAGATTTACAGCCTCAGAAACCCTGTACAGGGTCGCTATGAGTCGGAACTGACTCCACAGCCCACAGCAGCAGCAGAAACCCATTTTTAATATCTATCCACGGAAAACTTTTGCAAGATTAGTCATGCATTATGAAATATAATGAGTTTTCAGTTTGAATAGCAAAGAAGTGGGGAAAATGAAGCTATAACAAACGTTAAGGCCAAGTCTCTTTCCTAAGACTGCACCTCCGCTCTCATCCACACTACACCCTAGCTTCCTGGCACATCTAGGCCATGGAAAAGGCCTAAAGGTCCATGGTCTTTGGCCACTCTGGAAGCTTTTCCTCCAAAGCCTCTGAAGTAATGCTCCAACATAGGTTTCTTGCAGATGCAAGGAAGAGTTGGCTCTCTGGAAGATGGGCCATTTTCCCTGCATCACAAGGAAATGCTAGCTCTGATTTAAGAATTACAGTTTGGGCTAAAGAAATGTACTGTCAAATGAACTGAGGAAGTCAAGAAAATTCATTCCAGATGGTTTTATTATCAAATGCTAAAAGCCCTTAGCAGAAATTCCTTATTCTAATGCTTTGAGACTCAAAGCCACCATGTTGCATGGCAGCAGCAGCACTGTTTCCATAGAGCTTTATGATATACTATGTTGTTGTTGTTAAGTGCCATCGAGCAGGTTCTAATTCATAGCAACCCTGTATAGGGTTTCCAAGGAGCATCCGGTGGGTTTGAACCACTGCCCTTGTAGTTTGAAGTCCAGTGCTGAGCCTACAGCACCGTACTGCAATGTAAGTGACGCTACAGGGTTCTGCTGCGTCCAAATCTCACAAAAGCCAAACTTCTAGTCACAAACAAAACATGACTTCTTCTTGTAATTTTACCAGTCACCTTTCCAGGAGGGATACTGGGTAATATAAGGAGCCTTGGTAGACCCCCATGGCTAAGCAATCAGCTGTTAATTGAAACTTTGTCAGCTGAAACCCATGCAACAGCTCTGTGGGGCAGTTTTACCCTTTGACATGGGGTCACTATAAGTTTGAATTGACGTAATGGTACGCAACACAAACATTGGGTAATACAGCACATCTAGGTGTGTGCCATTTAAAACTCCGAAGTGTACAGCGAATAATGTATTTACGAGAAAAACTGAAAATTTATGGTTGATAACTTACTTTTCCCCATTTAATTTGGGTATAATTCCTAGTACCTGCAAATCCCAAAGTGTCTTAATAAAAATATCAAAGAAAGTGGTACTTTACTTTTAAATATATTCCAAAGTCTTCTCTCTGCTTCAGCCTCTCAAGATAAAAGACAGCTGCAGTGTAATTGAGGCAGTAGGTCTGGTGGCTATGACAGAGACTTCCTCGGAAATACTGTAGGAGAAGAGCAGAGAGGGCATCAGTGGACGCAGGAGAACACTCACCTCAAACAGGCTTCCTCTTTCTAGTCACTTCTACTTTTAACTGTTGTGGTTGTTAAGTGCTGCTGAGTCGACTCCACTCATAGCTACCCTTTATAGGTTTTCTGAGGCACGGCTGATGGGTTTGAACCACTGACCTTGCAGTTGAAACTGACCTTGCATTCCACAGTGCATTTTCCTGCATTCTCTCCCCTTAACTAGAACAGGGCAAAGTGGAGCCTTGTCAAGAAGGAAATAAAGCTGTATGGATATAAACAATGTTCTCATAAAGAACAGGCAATCTCTACAATAAACATTCTTTTTAAAAAATATACAGTATTCCCATAATATAACAGCCCACTCCTCAATAAAATCCTTTCTTCCCCATTGTAGTTATTATTGTTGCTTTGTGTCATTGTGATGATTCCAACGCATAGTGATCCTCCAGGGCACAGCAAAACTGCCTTCATAGAGTTCCCAAGCAGAGTCTTGGTGTGCTGCTGTGGGTTCATGTGTTGGACTGCAAAGTCGGCAGTTCAAGCTCACCAGCTGCTCCTTGGAAACCCTATACAGGGTCGCTATGGGTTGGAACCAGCTTGACAGCACTTAACAACAACAGTCTTTACAGAAGCAGACTGTGGTAGATTTAAACTACAGATCTTTTGGTTAACATCCAAGTGCTTAACCATTGTGCCTTCAGGGCTTTTAAACCCGGTATGGCATTTACCCTACTCTATGTAGGATACTATATAGAGTCGCTATGGGTCAGAACTTACTCCAAGGAACTAAAAACAACAATATACATAAAGAGCCTTATTAGTATGGTGGATGACGAGCTGGGCTGCTAATTCCTAGGTCAGCAGTTCTAATCTATCAGTTGCTCCATAGGAGAAAGATGAGACTTTCTGCTTCCATAAAGATATACAGTCTCAGAAACCCAATACAAGGTCTTCATGAGTAGGAACCAATTTGGTGGCACACAATCACTAACAACCAACATATGTGAAGAAAATTCTATTTGTGGCATCTTTATTAGAATTCACTCTTTTATTTATGCTTTGGTGAGGGTCCCAAAACTTGGGTGGCACTTAATAACAACTGATGCTTTTAATTTTGTTATCCATGTTGGTTAATGTTAAGCTTACGCTGACAGTTGGTGATTAAAATAACAACATCCAATTTTTCATCAAATATCCCTCAAACATATCTCCAAATTTAACTCTACTGCTCGCTTCTAAAATGTAGAGTCCAATTTGGGGAACCTCTACAATGTGTAATTATTTTTTAAAACATGAGTTTTTGCATAGTAATCTTATCTAAACTTCCCCTTTCTTCATTATTCTTATTTGGTATCTTAAACCTGCTATAATGCATACACACTTGTAAGCCTTCTCAAACTCATTTCAGAATAAGGTCAAATTTAGCACACCATTCCGCACGGCACCATTTTAGTGAAAGTCTTTCTCAGGGATACCATATTTTGCTCTTCTCTGCAATGCTTCTGACTTGTTACTGGCAGGATCTCTTTTCAGGACGCCATAGTAGCTACCAGGTTGTAAAGTGTATATACTTGTTGATATATTTATCAATTAATATAAATAGCCATGGGTGCCCTTGAGGAATTTCCATTATAATGAAATCAGAGGACACTCTTGTTTCAATTACTGTGAATAGAGAAACCCGACCCAGCCTAGAAATTCATAAAAGGAGATGCCAATACTAAACTTTAGAGATAAGCAAAACATAGAAAAAAATTGTTACTGGACTATAGAAGTAAAGACACTATGTGGAAAAATGTCAAGCCTTGACTTCAACAATAAATCTTTGGAAAGAAGATGATGTGAGTTAGTTTGTTTGGTAGCAGTAGGGGTAGGTTGGATAACTGGGCAGAGGAGGAGCCTGGAGGTAAAGGGCAAGTCTTCTCATAGGCTACTTGAGATGCTTGAGAAAGGGTAATACTCGGAGGCAACTGTTAAGAGTCCAAGATTGAGTCATAAATGGCCAGGCTTTGAAATCTAACTCCACAACCTAGTTGCTGTGTGACAGCCAAATGATCAGACATCTTCAAGTCTCAATTTCCTTCTCAATAACTTGCTCAGATAGCTCATGTGCGAAAAACAGTTTCTGCAATCTGTCAGCTGGTGGGCTACTTGTGAAACAACATGGTATTAGACTGTACTGCCATGTCTCTAGAAGGAGATTATGTCTCATTCCCTTGAAGTTAAGGTTGGCTGTGTGACTTTCTTTGGCCAATGAAATGTGAACAGACATGGCATTTTTTGTTTCCAGGCAGAAACTTGAGGAAGCCAGCCAATGTTTTGCCATAGCCTCTTATTTCCTTGTAACTACTAATGTTCCAAGGAGCTCTGGTAGCATAGTGGTTATGAATCGGGCTGCCAACCTCAAGGCCAGCAGTTTGAAACTACCAGCTGTTCTGTGGGAGAAAGATGAGGCTTTCTGCTCCCGTAAAGATTTACAGCCTTGGAAACCCTGTACAGGGTTGCTGTGAGTCAGAACTGACTCCATGGTACTTAATAAGAACGACAACAACAACAACTGATGTTCCAGGTAGAGATAGTGTCATCAGCCCAAGTCTCACAGCCAGTCAGTGATGAAGTGGAAGCAGAACATAATTGAGATATGAATCTGTTGTAATAAACCACTGAGATTCAGGGATTGTTTGTAATTATAGTACAACCAAATCTAACTTGACTGTCAGTATCCAGGGAAAACTGTTAATATAAATCATATTCTACATCCCACTATAATGAACTATAAGTCACAGGAATAGACCAAGCAGGAATTTTCATGATCCTCTGCTAGATGTTAAAACATAGATCCAGATCTTCCTTTTGTGATATCAAATTGAAACCAAACAAAGCCTATTGCTTTTAGGTTGATTCCTATTTACAGCAATTCTAGGATAAAGAACTGTCCTGTAGGATTTCCAAGACTGTCCTGGGGTGGCGCTGTGGGCTAATGCATCAGACTGCAAAGTCGTTTGAACTGCAAGGTCAGTGGTTCAAGCTCACCAGCTGTTCTTTGGAAACCCTATACAGGGTCGATATGAGTCAGAATTGACTAGAGTCGACATCATTTAACAACAATAGCAATCTTTACAAAGGGTCCCTGGTATGGCCCTGTAGGGTAAACCCTGGACTTAACCAAATTCTCAAACTTTATATTCTTTTTCTTATTTGTCAAAGCTTTTCTTATCCAAATAGTTTTATTTTCAAAGTTCATTCAATGTTTTCCTTTCTTTATATTTGATTTCTTGCTTTTTTTTGCCTTACCAAATACCCCTCCACCTTCCTATTCTCTCCTCAAACTAAAAGGTTTCTTACGCTGAATGCTGATAATACTCATGTTACTCCCAACCAGCATTTATCTCATTTAATTATGCAGCCAGTAGCCACTAGTGGAGTTCTGGAGTCCTGGTGTGGTGCTGCAGGTTAATTTGCTGGACTGCAAGGTTGGTGTGAACTGCAATGTTGGCGGTTCAACCACACCATTCGCTCCTCGGAAACCCTAAACAGGATCGCTATGAGTCGGAACTGACTCGATGGCACTTAACAACAACAACAGTGGAGTCCTGGTGTGGGTAAGCACTTATCCTCAGGGTCACATTGAGCAGCAGGTTGATGGTTCCAACTCACCTTGGAAACATCATACAGGGTCACTATGAGTTGGAACGGACTCAGCACCACTTAGCATCAATAACAACCGTGTCATAATCAGATTTATTTCTTCCCTACTAGACTGAAAATTCCCGAAGAGCAAGGGATACACATTATGGTGTATAGGGTATCGGCCCCAAACCTAATAGATGCTCGATATATCTCAATCTTCAAAAACAATTTTTTTCCCCATTGTGGACTGTAAGAATATAAATCTTGCTGAATGTAAAAAGATAGAAATTGGTTGAAAATCTCAGTGATAAAACAAAACAAACAAATGTTGAGGTAGGTGTCTAATGTTTATTGAAGAGATGGATGGCACTTACCAAGCCAGATATAAAGTTTTCTTTTTTTCTCGTTGTTCCACAGTGTGTTAGCAAGGGTGTTGATGATTTTGGAGGTTTATTTTGCTTCTTTCTGAAAGCCTGCCATTTTTGTTAGAACAACTGAACCGTGTAATTAGCATATCCTAAATGATTGCCATGAAGATTACTTTAAATTGAAGTCATTTTAAAAACTGACTTGGAAATGGATTTCCCACGCATGAGGATTTTTTTGTGTTAATAAACGCACACAATGAGATGTGACTCTGGTGAGGAAGCGGAATCTGAAAGTTATTTTTTAAGAAACTTGATTGGCAGAGAAAGGGACCGTTCCTTTGTGGGAGGTTAGCGATGGGAGTTTCCCTGGAACAAACTTAAGATGATAAAAACAGTTTTCCAGGGACGTGGGTGAATTTACTGCAAACCGGGTGAGATCTCTCAAAAAAATGTTACCTTTGTGAGCACGGAAATAAAGTCCATTGGTGGCTCAGTCTCAGAAGTGTCAACGTAGTCCTTGATGAGGCTGAAAAGACTGTTCACAAAACCAAAGCTTGTCTGGAGCCAAAGAGAAACAGACACCCACCAGGCAGTGTTAAAGAATAAATAGCACTCTTACAGGGGTTTTCCATTTCAAATGTATATCAGAGCCAAATCCAAATGTTTCTTTTTCTCCACTCTCCAATATATATTATTTATGCTTTATACGTTCTTGTTGCTCTCTCTCTTCTCCTTATTTTTAGAGGGAAGATATTTACTTGTAATGCATATGAGAAAAAGACATTTATTTGAGAATAAACATTTATGATTGTCATGGAGATTTGAGGACTATGTCGAAAGATGAGACGTTCTTCTCCGGTAAAGATTTACAGCCTCGGAAACCCTGTACAGGGTCGCTATGAGTTGGAACTGACTCCATGGCACATAACAACAACAACAACTTTCTTCAATAAGCAAATCAACTATCATCGACTTATTTCTCACTCATAGTGGCACTATAGTTAAGAGTAGAACTGCCTCATAGGATGTTTAAGCTGTGAATCCATATGGAAGCAGATAGCCACATCTTTCACCTGAGGGGCAACTGGTGGATTTGAACCACCATCCTCGTGGTTAACAGCCAAGTGCTTTAACCACTGTGCCACTATTTTATTATTATTATTTTTAAAATTAGTCATGGAAAACATTTAAAAACGTTACCAAAGGATAACTAATATTTGGCGACTCTTGGAAAGGTGGCAGTGGATGCTTAGACTTATTTTTAATTAGCCTTAACTCCTGAATAAAATATGCGATGGCATATGGGATAAACTATATTCCACATTCCAATACAGATGCATTACAAGTCACAGTGATAGACCAAGTATGAATTTGCATGAACTTCCGCTGACTTTTTAAACAGGGCTACAGGCATCTTTCTTCTTTGGCTCACCTGACTTAATTCCTCCAGGTTTGCAAAAAGTCTCCATAAATCCACATCCAGAAGGTACTCATGAGTTTGTAGATATTTCAGTGTGTTCATAAAGATCTTCAAAAAAAAAAGTGCACATTATTTTCTGCTTTTCAATTTTGAAACTTGCCTTTTGAAGGAACATTACACATGAACTTCCTGTGCATAACCTTACAGAACAATCTAGAAATCAATATTCTTGAGGTTGTAAGAATTCTGCTGAGCACAAACAATGGCATTTAAACTTCATAAATGTTTGGAATGTGCTCTTTACTGGGAAGTTATAGTTGCTTTTGTGAATCTTAACATTCCTGTTGAAAAAGAATCTGTCCAAATGGGCTCTTTTCTGTAACGCACTGCCAGAGAAATCGAAAAGGTTCCCTTTGGACCGACACACTAACTTGGCAACAAATCAATATTCACTCTGTGTCCTCATTTATTTCTTCCTCTGCCAAAGATCTAGAGGCTCGGTTTTTGTTAAGCACCATCAAGTCAGTTCTGAGTCATGGTTTCCAAGGAGCAGTTGGTGGGTTTGAACCATCAACCTTGTGGTTAGCAGTCCAGTCCTTATCCTACAGGACCACACCAGGGCTCCAATAGGGTTTTGGAGGAGTGACTGGTAGGCTCTACCTTCAGGGAATGAAAAATAGAGAGTTAATGAGTTGATATGATTATTGTTGTGTTGTTGTGAAGTGCCATCAAGTCGATTCTGACCCATAGCGACCCTGTATAGGGTTTCCAAGGAGCAGCTGATGAGCTTGAACTGCCGACTTTGCAGTTCAAAAGACTTTGCAGTCTGACACATTAGCCCACAACGCCACACCAGGACTATTATGATTATTAGTAGAATGTTTATGTTAGGATCAAGACATCAAATATTAATGACACTGTTGTTGTTGTTGTTAAGTGCCTTCGAGTCGGAGCCGACCCATAGCGACCCTGTACAGGGTTTCCAAGGGTGTAAATCCTTACGGGAGTAGAAAGCTTCATCTTTCTCCCGCGGAGCGGCTGGTAGTTTCGAACCACTGACCTTAAGGTTCACAGCCCGATTCGTAACCACTACGCTACCAGAGCTCCTTAAAAGGTTGTTTAAGCTGCTATTGCTTGATTTGATGTAGTCCTCACTCACAAATAGTCTTCCTCCATTTCTGTAAACTAAGGAACTCTGGTAGTATAGTGGTTACGAGTCAGGCTGCTAACCTCTAGATCAGCAGTTTGAATCTACGCTGCTTCAAGGGAGAAAGATGAGGTTCTGTGCTCCATTAAAGATGTGCAGCCTTGAAAACCCTAGACAGGGTCAGTTTGTGTCAGAACTTACTCCATGGTACTCACACCACAAAGCTTTTCCAGAGCTTGAACTGGGTCATTCTGGTCAGAATCCTCTACTGAGAATTTGCGTTTCTACCTCAGATATACTGAATCAGAATATACTTTTTTGTTTTTTAAATCCCCTGGTGATTCTTATGTATAAACAGAGGCCCTAATCTTTTCACACCTAAAATTCTTGAGTTTGAATGCTTCCTGTTACAAACGCATATTCAAAGGCTTCCTGTTTCAGTAAACTGATCTCTCTCTAGTTTACAGAAATGGTTGTTGGTGGTGATGTGCCCTGGAGTCCATTCTGATTCATAGTGACCATGCACAGGGTTTCCGAGGCTGTAAATCTTTACGGGAGCAGAAAGCCTCATTCCCGTGGAATGGCTGGTGGCAGCCCAAGTCACAACCCAGTAGCTCTGTCATCTTACACCACTGATGTTCTCTACATTTCATTTACTCGTTAAATCACAGATACTGGGACCCTGATTTAACAGGTACAGATTGCTGCAGCTTCTGATTTAGTAGGTTTGTGATGGTCTATGGGAATTTACATTTCTAACATGTTCCCAAGTGATTCTGATACCACTGGTCTAGGGACATTGACTTGGCTGACTATGTGCCATCGAGTCAGTTCCAACCCATAGTGACCTTGTATATAGGGTTTTCAAGGCTGTAAAGCTTTACAGAGCAGAATGTCTTTGTTGTTGTTGTTAAGTGCCTTAGAGTTGCTTCAGACACATAGCAACTCTTTCTTAAGTTTCTAAGGCTTTTAAATCATTGCAGGAGCAGAAAGCCTCATTTTTCTCCCATGGAGTAACTGGCTGGCTGGAATCCCAGACCGTGTGGTTCACAGTCCAGTGCTTATCGTATAGAGCCACCATGCTCCCCAGAAAGCCTCATAGAGCTTCCCAAAGTCAGACATTACTGGTTGTTTAGAAATTTGTTCATATTTAAAACATATAAGAAATCACTTGTTACAACAAATTGGTAAAATATAGAGGTATTATTCCTTTTGCTATAAGATGACTTGCTTTACAGAAAAGTTTACCTTCTTTTAAATATTGAGACCTCCAGTATGAAAATTTTACTGTTCAAATTATACAAATTCAATTTACAAGCAGCTTTGGAAAACTCATATTGATTGTGTAAAAGGAGCTACGTATATATATGCCAAATACACTGGGACATTTAAGAATAAATGAATACAGATTAAACAGAAAATGCTAGTTTGAAAAGCCCATGCAGGTTTCCGTGGACTAGAATGTGCTGTACGGATTGAAGGGCAATGGAGGCAGTCAGTATAGCTCAGAGGGCTAGTGACCTGTTGTTTTTGTTGTTATTAAGTACCATTGAGTCAATTCCGACCCATAGCAACCCTGTATAGAGTTTCCAAGTAGCAGATGGTAAGCTTCAATAGCTGACCTTGTGGTTCAAGCTGACTTTGCAGTCCAGTGCATTAACCCACAGTGCCACACCAGGGTTCCTGTTGTGAACATCTATTGGCTACAGGGATATATGCTCCCCTTATTCTTCCAGCATCGTGGTTTCCAACTTAGTATCTGCTCTTCCCCACACAGTACATAATTCATGTGGGAAACACACTCACTCACAGGGATGGTCCTGACTGCCTTCAGTCAATCAGCATTCCTTTCTCAGCCAGAGAAGTTGATTCTAGAGTGAGCATGTATCATCAAAATGAATTCCAAAGCTTGTGCTACGGATGTTGGGAAGATGGCCTCTTCCTCTCTAAGCATGGATTCCAAGATGGCAGCCATTGTATGACTATAAGGGAATCTGGTCATCACATGACGGAGATGCCGTAGAAGACAGAGAGGAGAGATGGCAAGAAACTTTGTTTTAATTTTAAACTTCTTAATCAAACCAACATGGAATTATCTTCTACTTCTGTACTTTATAGTCACCTGGGCCAATAAAAACTTTTATTATTTAATTTAACCTTCTGTTTTTGTTGTTGTTGTTAGGTGCCATCGAGTTGGTACTGACTTATAGTGACCTTATGCACAGCAGAATGAAACACTGCCCAATCCTGGGCCAACATCACTACTGTTGCCACGCTTGAGTCCATCGATGCTGCCACTTGGCCAATCCAA